ATGGTTTGCCAATGTGCTGCCGGTCCTAGGGGCCTATTATTTTTTTTATCAAGAAAGCACATGGTGTAAGGTTTTATTATATAGAAGTTCTGCGGCGGACGCTTGCGAAATAGCAATATGCAGAGATCACAAACTCCCTGCACATGATATCGTTAATTTTTGATAAGTAGAGCTATTTAGCTAGAACAATTTATAAACGCCAATATAAAACTTGGAAATGTTTCATGACTATTTTCATGACTATATATCCAATGAGTTCTGTACCGCAAGGTAATTTTTCAATTTAAAAAAATCAAATTGTATCTAGACCGATAGCAAGTCCATGTGTCAGTCCACCATTTTATTGAAATTCCCCTCACAAATAAGCTTGGTTAGAGATACATACAATAACACGGGTTGAAGTGCATGAAAAGTTTCATGAAGTTGTTTTCAAAATAAAGGGGATTACATTCGATGAAGCCATCAAATGAATGTAGATTGTTATCTAGGAGTCGTCTTACTACAGCGGTGCACTAACAAGAACAACAATAAGAGTGAACTTAGTTTTCTGACCAGAATTTCTTCCGCTTCCTTCCAGTTGATACATGAAACGTCACAAGATTCGAAGATTTTAGTGAAGAAAATCAATTTAATATGCTGTCAAAAATGTATTCATGTCATATCAAGAGAAGTTAATTTTTTCGTCCTTTCAAGGCACTAAACCTGAATTTTATGTCAGGTACATTGATGATGGCTTTGGTGCCGTGTCAAGCAGTCCGGATGAGTTATTACAGTTCATTGACTTTGTTAACAACTTTAATCCCGCCATACAATACACACATGAGATATCAGAAATAACACTACCATTTCTCGATATTTCTACTAAGATAGATGGTGATCGGATTTCTACATCAATTTACACTAAACCTACTGATTCACATTCAATTTGTTATTTACAGTATGAATCATCACATCCTACTAGAATGAAAGACTCCATACCTTACTCACAGTTACTCCGGGTACGTCGTATTTGCAGCGATGATACCGATTTCCGTAACCAGGCAAG